ATTTTACTTTTAAAGCAGCCATGTGTATAGGTTAGGTTAAGTTGAATAAGTGACATTCTATATATTATTTACCTAATTTAAGCCAATACAGACAGATTAGTATATTATGGAGAGAGTAACTAATAATGAATTTACGGATTTTTACTTACGCTGCTGCTTTGAGACCCTTAAATTCGGCCGAATTAAAGCGTTTGTCGTTTTTTTTAAATTCGGTAACCATAAAAATATATACACATGGTAAATTGTTTGTTGACGCTTTAAGGAATCGTTTTGAAGCGATGTTTTAGTTCAACACAAACTATAAATTATTTAAATCCACAAAATAATTAATGAAACACAACCACACAACTAAACACTATGCACAGAACGTAAACAATCAGCCATTTATATGACCAGATACGTCACAACCGTGCGTTGCGTTTTAGAGATTCATAAATAATTTGAATTTTAGCTGAATTTGTTTATTAAATATTTAACAAAATAGCAATAGATATATAGTATAAACTTATTTAATCTTTCATATATATGTATATATATTACCATTAATTAAGGTTTGGTTTGTAGGAATTTTTGATTCAATGAAAACACCCTATTACCAAATCATATCAAATCCGGAGTATGCAATACAATTGGGATGCTTCTCCGGTTTACTCAAGGCCCGAATTGTTGCGGTAGAACTGTACAATGAATAATGGAATTTCGCATTTGAAACACCAACATAACTCTTTCTAGATGTGTTGTTATTTGTATGCGCACTCTTTCGTAGAGGCGATGAGGGTACATGATCCGGGAAATGTTCCGCAGGATTATTTGGTTCACTTAAACTGTACTGTTACTTTATGAATTGGATTTGCTGTAATTCGATCCATTCCAATGAGAATTTTATGCACTTAAATTTCGTTTAATTGTTTTTGTATAATAATGATATTCATCTTGCGTTATTTCAAAATTAGTCTACAGGTAAAATGGAATAGTCTCAGTTTATAATAAAAAAACCAAAAATTTGCGTTGTTTTGTATTTACAGTTTTTGCAATGTGCCTTCTTCGGTCCATCTTTGGACATGGACCTCCCCCAGTCTTTTCCACTCTTTCCTGTTTGTCCCCATGTTCATCCATCTAGTTCCAGGGTGCCTCTTTGGGGTCTTCCTCAACTTCTATTATTTTCCCAATGTCTCCCTGTTGTCCAGGTTAAAATCAATTTGTTATATGTAATTAATATAGGCAATTAAAAACCGTATAATTCAAATCATTCTTGTAACGCGCCGTCATCGGCAGGGGCCAGTTGTGACGTCAAGCGGCTCGTCGGCCGCGGCGGCTGCAATGCGGAGCAAGTAAGCATGCAACCTCAGTCTTGATATTGTTGTTAAAACGTTTATATAGTGTATTAGGAGAAAACAAAAATTTTTTTAAATGACTGATGCATGTTTTGTAAACGGACAATTTTACCCCTCGTGGATATGTTTATGTTGGCATATTATATTAAAAACACAGAAAATTTTACTCTTGCTGAAATTCGCTATGTTAAAACCGAACAGGTCGATTTATAGGCAAAATAGTCAATAGTTTTACTTATATAAATCGATAAAATGTAAGATTGGAGTTTTACTAGCTCTAATTTCCAAAAATCAAACAGGACCTATTGATCAAAATGTAAGTGATTCAACAAAAAAATATGAAAGTATTGTTTTCATGCTAGTAAAAACTAAATTACATCATTAAAATGCATGCACGACGATAAAACGATATTTTTTCTTCGCAGATACTTATTGCTTCTTTTTATCCTCTAGTATAGCAATTAACTATTTTTGAGGTGATTATTTCCTACTATAATGCAGCCGAGAAGCAAACAAAATACAAATTCAAAGTATTTATCTGTTATATAAGAGACAAAATCAAATCTGTTTTTTATACTTACATTAAAATGATCTTCACATACCCCCATGTATGTGAAGAGTAGTCTTCTCAGAAATATCCTTGTATATATATCTTTAACCATTAACCATTTTAAACGCCGGCTTTTATCTCGTGGTAGGTGAATAAATAGCTTATCTGGTGTTTTAAAAGTTATACTAGGACACAGTAGCACAGCACCATACAGCATTTGTAATATTGTTTTTGTGTTATTTCCATTATTAATAAAGCACAGAACGCATTCTGAACAGTCAAACTCCCAGATAATTCAACGACAAGCCGTATTCCCGTATTGCCTTTCGATCGAACGACCAGCGCTATGACGTCACGACCATTCCCGCGTGTTTAATGTCGTTTCAAATAAATAACCTGCAGTCACAACTTTAATTCTTTATTGCAAATTAAATATTGCGATTTGACAGCTGATATTTGATATGCGCGATTTCTATAGATAGGCAAATATATTAAAGAAATAAAAAAACAAGTTTAAGCTCCCCATTTATGGTTGATGTTTTGCAAGCACGAGCGGCTTGCATCTTGAGAGGTGGTTTGCTTTTGATAGGAGCAGAAATGGTTAATGCAATAATGCCTGAAGGCAGACGAAGAAACCTTAGTGCCTGAAGAAAAAGTAAAGCATCCCGATGCAATAAGAAAGGAAAGGACGGTGAAATAAAACAAAAAACATATAAAACTTACTTTTAGTCTCAAATAATTCGTAATTTGCTTAGAAATAATAATTAAACAAGTCAATGAGGTACTGGATAATATAAAATACGAAAACTATTAAAAATTAAAAACTCACTTTCAGACTCACAAACCGTTCAGTCTACACATTAATCTGCAGTTTCATTCATCAGTGAAACTCAGCATACTCTCTACGGCCATCTTCAAAATCCGGGCGTCGTTCATCTCTTTCAAAGGAGGATTAGTTTGCATGAAGAGAGTTAGTTGCTTCAGCAAGTCTGTCAATACTTTTGGAATGAATTGCTTTGTGCTGGCTCCGTCCGGAGAGAGCGCCAGGAACGCTGGGCGTAGGTAACTACAGAACAAAACGTCGAATTCCTGCCATAAACTTTACACGGTTTACTGACCTTAATTTGATCTGGGAATTCTTGTGCATTTCCATGCTGAGCTGCTGAATGAGTGCTAGTAAAACACTTTGCGACAGCAGACATTTCTCCCCAAACACTTTGTTTGCATCGACACGTTCACAGACGAATATCACCATGTTCAAGTTTTCAGCGGAGAGCGCCAATTGGAAGGCTTCATCAAACGTGCGTTTTGCTAAGGCCTGCTGTATATGTGCCATTGTCTGCAACTGCATGGAAGAATTAGATATGTTCTACATACCGGGTGCCAATTTGAAAACTTCCCACCCTTAATGTCTTTCTTGCAGTTAAAAATATGAAAAATCGGAAAGACCCGTCAATTTGTAAGAGGGACACTTTAAATTAATATTTTTAGCCTCCTTGTTCCAACCTCTTAGGAGGGGTAGAGAATGATGAGAATCTTAAATGGGAAGGGGGGACAAGTGGCACATAGTTTTAAAGGGCGTTCAATTCTTTTTACATTAATTATTATTTTGTTTCTTTATGTTATACTTATTCTGGGTGTTTGGTAAGTAGATGCATTCCTTGCAAGGGATGATAGTGCAATTAGTTTTGGATATATTTCGTTAATAGACCAGGTTCCCAAAACCATTAGTTTCTGATCTACAGGGTGTTAAAGTTTTAATAAAAAAAATGTTATTTATTAATATTTCGAAAACCGCATGGACTATTATAATGAAATTTGACAGGCTTAGGCAACTAAGAACAATACACGTTTTTCGATAAAAATGTTGTTTCAATCCTTTCCAGTGGCGTGGCTAGAGGCACGTCTGTGAATAATTTTACATAAACACATGTTACGTTACTGATTTTTCTAAAAGTTAATAATATTTTTAGTTCCTGTTCAATTTGGAAGAGAAAAGGTCTCTTGACTTTTTTTATACGACGTCCCGATTTATTGCACAGCGTAATCGGGTTCTTATTAAAAAGTTGGCTCTGCACTGGTTTTTGTCACTGATTGACAAAAGTAATAATTGCTGTCATTTCGAGTGTCTGCGTAGCTTTAGTTGTCACCTTCTCTTTGAGATTTATGTAACTCCGATTAAGCTCACATTAGTTGAACACTTTATTGGTTGAAATGATATAGATATTCTTTACATTTAGGGGTTTTGCGACAGAAATAGTGGCGGCTTCCAAATATCCGTGTCTTTGCAAACACCTACCAAGGCTCAGTGAGTCAGGAAAAGTACAATGTAGGCAAATTCACGTAGGATCAAACTGTAAGGGAGTACCTTGATCAGCGTTTTCCTAATCGATGGATTTGGAGAGGACGCCCCCATATAATGGCCTGCCAGAAGACCAGATCTAACTCCGTTAGACATTCACGTAAGGGGTAGAATAAAAGACTTGGTTTATGCCAGAAAAATACATACAAGGGAGGAATTAATACAGCGCATTACAGATGTCGCTATTACACTTAGACAGACATTTTCGGCTAGGGGAACGCGGACTGAAACAGGAAGGAGGGCACATGCATGCGTTAGAGAAGGGGGCTTCATTTTGAGCAAGATCTTAAGTAGTTATGAATTCATGAATAACATAATTTTTTTTCGTATTAAAGCAAGCTTGGTGCTCATTTCAATACTAAGAATAAGTAAAATTTTAATTAACAGGTAAATTAATCTACCTATTAGATTGAAAAACAAATAAAGAAACTCTAAGACTGATGTCAACTGAGGCTAGTAATAATTTTTGTAATAAAATTGATACAATCTAACTGCAATTTTTGCTGTCTTTATACTGAACCATACTTAACTACAACCCGATAACCCGATTAAGCTATGCAATAAATCGATTTTAATTTGTTTACTCGCAAACGGGACGTCGTAGAAAAAAAGTCAAGAAACCTTTTCTCTTACAAATTGAACAGGAACTTGACAAATATTATTTATTTTTAGAAAAATCAGTGGCGTAACATTTTTCTATTTAAAATTATCTACAGACGTGCCTGTACCCACGCCACTGGAAAAGATAGAAACAACATTTTTATCACAAAACGTGTATTGTTCTTAGTTGACTAAGCCTGTATATGTACTTGAATTAATTGGGTAATAAATTAGATAAATGAAGATTGATAATCTCAAACTAGGAATCTTTACTTATAGAATTAACATGAATACTGACAGAGAGGATTGACACTTGAAGAGAGTTACAACAAAAACATTAGTTCATGTACAAGTATACAACACTTTGCATCCAGAGTAGGGAAGGTCGGTATTTAATGTAACCGCTAAAATAACAGTGTTCCAAACGTGTAACCTGAAACCGTAGTTACAGCTGGCCGATTTAACAGGTTTTTTTGGAACCGTCTCATAGAACCTAAATAGCGGTGCGCACTTCGGACACCGTCGAGCCTATATATATCCAGCTGCAGCTGTTTCCCGGCTTAAGGCCTGGCTTCGCTTGTGCGATTGATGTCTGACGTAAGCAGCGGCTGCAGCGTCCATCGCATGCGTCGTAGGTGGATTTGCTTGTGCGTCTAAACGTCGAGAAAAGTTGGCAGCCCGAGCACAGTGCAAAGGAAAATTTGAGTAGTTGATTAATTAGCATCATGTAGCTTGCATTGGCTCAGCAGAAGAAGATGATTTCGGTATTAATCACAAGCAGAAAATCTCATCAATCTATGTACAAACACCGATATATAGATTATACTAAATCCCACGCTTATTTTCGCGTAAGTAGAAATCAATTTGAGTCATGTCGGCGGCAAATAAATATAAATATTGCAGTAAAATCGCTTGCGTCGCGCTGCTGGACTGGTCTCGACGTCGACGCGCTAGTAAACCCATAAACATGATATGCCATATGATCAGTCTCTGCGATGGACGCAGCAGCCGCTGTTTACGTCAGACATGCGGCAGACGCATGCATCAGTCGCACAAGCGAACCCAGGCCTTTAAACCGTCTCATAAAACAGAAACAGTTGGGAGCACATAGCACCAGCTGCAGCCGTTTGCCGATTAAGAGCCGTTTCACACGGGCCACTCTGCAGCGCTAATCAGTGGCGCTGCTGAGAAGCTCGTTTTGAAGGTATACTGATTTACATGGAGCTATTCACACGGACGCGACCAAAGCCGGACCACCGATTAAGCAGCGCTGCTGTGGCGTTCAGTGGTTGACTACCGCCGAGAAGCACGTCAAAAAGAAGCGCCACCGAGAAGCGCTGCAGAGTGGCCCGTGTGAAAAGGCTCTTAAAGGTTGTTTTTGGAACCGTCTCATATGCAGCATAGTCGAGCGCTGTATGCAGTTGCAGCAGTTTCAGTACAATCGCAAACGCATTGGAAAGTGCATCAGGCTTGAACGTGGACCAGTTGAAGCAGAGCATATTTGATAAAACTAGTTTTTCTCATAAAGTTGTCTGCTTCTTTAGTGAAAACTTCGGACTTATGTTAAAATAACATTCTGAACAAGTTTTTCGAGTAACTTTTTTCGATATCTTTAACTCATCGCAAAATATAACGAATTGCCCCTATTCGCAAAGTTTTAGTAGGCTGAGTTTTTACCTGAAGTTAGAAATGGGTACCCTAACAAATATGGTCGTTGCACAAAAAAAAACAAAAAAATGTTTTGGTGGAAACCTTTCCCAAACATAGCGTGTGGGTCGTTTAGAAGAATGCCTAATGCAAATTTCTAAAAAAAATAATTTTAATATAAAAAAAGGGAACGAAAGTTACCAGATTTGCTTGTAAAATGACGTCACGCGGCACAAATCCTACGCTAGTTATATGCCCATAACCAGGAGAATGTACACTTGCAGATTGCATAGGAGCAAGCAACCATACGCATTGTTAATACATTAATATTTAAGGCATAATAAATATAATCTATTATGCCATCTGGGTTTGACGATATCGATTCTTTATGGTATTAGCTTTCTTGTAATCTGACCATGCAAGAGCTTGTTTGTCTGGATCTTCCGGCTTCTAAATTTAAAATTCTAAACAATGGATTATGGCGTGTACGTGTACGTATAATGTTCACGAAAAGATATAGGTTTGTTAACTTTATTAGGTGGCATCCAGACTATGAAACTCTTTAACATCTCGCTAATTAATGGAAGGGATTTTGCAAAAATTCAACTCGTTGTACTTGCGGAAAATTCAAAATCATCACCTAGTTCAGCAAAGCAAAAGATTTGTGAATTCGATTTTTTTAAGAACTAGATAAATATTTACAAAACCGAATTTTGTAGTCTAAGTCGCTTAATTATAAATGAAGCTTTATTTATACCCAGGTATAATCTTGCATCTAAAGCGTCATTTATAATCTTAAATCTATTACGTTTAAAAACTACGGCTCGTACAGGAGCGTCACTACTTCGTTTTCTGTTTTTTTGACACGCAAACTTCTTGCTTCTTCCGAACACCGGTTCAAATTGAGCAGCAGTTAATTAACCGAACACGAGAAGCTGCTCAAAATATGAGCCCAGGCTCAAAATGATTGGGACACACAGATGTTTGGAGTAAAACGGGCAGGACTTCTTGCTCTTGGGAACACTTGTGTTTTAACAACAGAATTGTATTTTATTAGATCAATAATATCGATCAATTATACATAACCTCTAACCCCTGGTTTTAGATGGCAGTTGTGACCTATTTAGGTATATCACTGATTTGCCCCAAAAAGATGGCAGCACTCGGGAAGCGGTGACACCGTTATCCTAACCTGAACGCAAATTATTCTCTTTTATTTTCTTTGCGTCATGTTTATCCATGGTTACCGGAGTTTTTAATAATTACGAAGGGTAAACAAGTATTTACGAAACGTTAGTTAGGCAGATTACCTTAAAAAACATTGTTGCCATCCTTCTGATCTAATTTTTTGCAAATATCTGAGTTTTTTTCTGTACTCCCAAGACCCCCCAGACAACACCTCCAGAGGAATGACGCCAATTTTAAATCACCCTGAATAAGTAAAAATCAGCAATTTTTTCAGTTTTACCTTGAAAATGCAATCAACATAGGAAAAAGCGTATTTTTTCACCTATTTTTGATTTGTAACTGGTACCATTTCCCAAATAGCGGATACAAAACGCCCAATTTTGCCGACTGTGGCGGTACCAAACATGCAAAAGCTACCTACCTATTTATCTCGTTTTTGCGCATACTTTATATTCGTTTAAACAGTAATGCCATAAAAAGCCCAATTATCTGTCTGAACACATTATTTGCAGATAAAAACCAAGGCTACACTTACATGAGTATCGACGTGCGGAGCAGGAGTGACTGTCCTAGATCTACTCACGGCATTTAGAACGCCTTCTTGTATAACAGCAACTTGGTTGTTAAATCCCTTTTGGATCTCGCTGCTGACCATATCTTTGACACTGACGACCAACTTGTCTTGAACACTAAACAGCCAGTTAAAAGAGGCCGGTTCCTCAAAAAGAACCTTACGTCTTAAAAAGAGAGAGCAGTTGAGCTTGAAGCTGTGAAGACATCGAATCCGTCAGCTTATCCGCGTTCGCCTTCAGGCTTTCAGAAGCGCTTTTCAGATGAACGATGATATCTTTACTGGACTCTTGGGTCCTACGTTGTCGCTCCACATGCGCCTCCACTGAAGCCGTATCTAAATGACAATAATCATCATGAAATCCATCCACGGGCAGCGATTTATCCAAAATACTTACACTCTTTTGTGCCTCTGTAAAACGTGTCGTTGATTTGTTGGAACATTTGGGCGCAGACTCTTTCCCAAGAAGGAACGAGATTTTGCGCGATGCTTTCTCGGTAGGACTTTTCCAAATGGGGAGTCACTTGCAAGGCAATGGAACGAGCAATTTTCTCTTCGAACGACTGAAAAAAAAGACTGCTAAAGCACGAATCTGAGCGATGACTAAAACCCCACGAAGAGACGTGGATGACTCAGTGAATTTTCAGGACTTGAAATACGCTACAATGAAAAATGGTTAGACGCAAGGTTTGCTGATTTTTTTGGCCGATTCGCCGAGAAACTTAGATGGAAACGATGAGAAGAAATAAAACTACAAAGTAACTTGAAATATAATTGAAGTTACTCAACATAATGAGATGAATTACTGATATTTCTATTACTTGTAACTGTAAAATGAGCATTTTTCGTTATTAAATTTAAGTCGCAGTCTTTTTTCACTTTTTTTAATTGTTGTTAATGTTAAATTTCGTGTTTAGAGCATCAAATACGATGTTTACGATGTTATCATGCATAAAAACAACAAGGAGAAAAAAAATATATACATTTTTATTATAAATTTAATATAAAGTTTTCATGTGCTTAAAACGTTTTGCGCAGTTTGGCAACGCCGCTCGAAATTTAGCCTCAAAATGGTGATTTTCATCAAACTTTGTGAGTGTTCATTTGGCTTAATTTATGGACCACCCAGGAAATTTTTGCTCTTAAAGTGCTTATTTCGAACTGTTTAATGTTACAAAAGAAAAACTTTTTTTTGCTGAAACTGCTTAATTTGTGTGTCCTTAAGATAAATCCACAAAAAACTAAAAATACAAAAAGACTCAAACGGCTCAATTACCTTTGTTTTGTTCTAATCAGCTTTTACAAGCTTTCCATTTTTGTTTATTTTTTTCATTCCATTCATTCACTTATTCACATTCATTTTTGTTACAATTGCTACTCTCACTTTTCGCTTCGTTACCAACTCCAGTAGATAGACAAGTCTGACAAGTCTCAACTTTCACTCGGCAACGAGTAATTTGACGTTTTATAGTGCCCCCATCAGTTGATTCCGCGAATTGAAAATGTTGACAAAACAGTCAGCTGAGTCAGTGACAAACATTCAAACTGTCAGAGTGCGTCTCGAAAGTTAAGTTGGATTTATAACTCTACAGTTCGTTCTGTTGTTCGTGAAGTTGCCATACCGTTGCAGTTGCTGTTGTACAGTTCGCAGTTGCCGACGTTGGAATTTGATTGGTCAGATTGACAGATTGTATGCTCATATGATTTAATGTTGGTCATGTTGTCTGTTGGGTTTATAACGTTTTCACATCAAAATATCGAGATTATCTTGATCTAGACGCAAACTACTTCCTTTTACGTTCATTTTAGTTTGCTATTGAAGGAAAAGCGTCTTTAGCACGGTCGCAAATTAAGCACAAGCATCCCGTTTTTACTGGGCACTTTTACAGTTTCTGTGCCCTAAATTTTACAAACTTTAATAATATTCTGTATTAATAAGGTGCTAAGGTCTCGAACCTCAACGAAAATAACTTGATCTGCCATCTTGCCAGAAACATAAACAAAACACGGCCTCGTTTTGACAAATGTCACTCAGTGACTCACGTGATATGAAACTCTTTCTCTCATTGGTTGAATCGCCAATTGCACGAACGTCGCAGACGAAATAAAATTTGCTTAATCAGCAACGACATGGAAACGTATTGGAAACGACAAACCTCAAGCAATGCCGGGTTTATAAATTGGAACGTGCGCACGCGGATGGTGATTTCTAAAACGGCGGCAATTGCGGACTTCGAACTATAAACGGCAACAACTGAAGAGTTTATAAATCCACCTTGATTCCTTTCCAGACGGGATAAAGAAAATTTAATTGAAAAATGGGCGGAAAGGTAAATGGTCATTGTTATGTCATTTTAATGAGTAAAAGTGATTCTTTAGCTATCGAAAACAGTGGCGGTGAAAGTGTGTACCATGGGATCAGGAAATAGTATATTACGGTACAAGGTCCGCACTGCGTCTATGACGCAACGTCAACTTCAAGCAGTCAGCTGACAGTCAGTGACAAACAGTCAAGCTGTCAGCATGCGTGGCGAAAGTTAAAACTTTCAACACGGAGTGAAGAAAATTTTAGGGAAAAATGGGCGGAAAGGTAAATTGTCATTGTAATGTGTAAAAGTGAATCTTTCGCTATAGAAAACAGTGGCAAATCTGAACCAAGAAAAAGAAAAACATATTTCCGATTCACCATTAATATCATTTTTAGAATATTTTGGGGAGACCTCGGCAATAAATTTCCATCGGTTCAACGAGCTAAAGCCATCAAAGACAAAAAGACAAACAAAAGTAACGTTTACGGATTTGTGAGCTTCAAGGAACCAGATGACCTTACGAAAGCGATGGAGCAAATCAAGGATAATTTTTGAATTGAAGTCTAGAACTCGCCCGATCAAGGTGCGACTCGAGGAGTCGGCGTATAGCCTTATAGGAGATTTTGATTACGACGGTGGATAACGCGCACTTTTTTCTATTGCTCACGAAACTTTCGCTTCAATTGCACATTTCGCCGATTTGTGATAAGTTTTTAAACATCGCCATGCATCAGTGGACTTTTGGTTTCGCAAGCTGATTTTTGCAGATTTATTTGTCGAAAACTGGCCCAGATGGAGAAATTTCGATGACGGTATTCGATAAAGCCAACCTTCTACTGTTGCCGAACATTGCGCTTTCTATGAACTTTTCATCAATTTCTGGGGATTTTTTATGATGACTTTACAAAAGCGATGTAGGAAATGAAGGATAATTTTTGAAGTCGTCCGATCAAGTTGCGACCCGAGGAGTCGGCGCATAGCCTTTGTCAAGAAGAAGAAAAAGGAGAAAGTTGCCCTAATACATCTGTTAACATATGGAGGAAAATAGGCAACTCAACATAATTAGTAAATGAAATTTTGCGTTGCTAATATACATTTTTATAAGCAATCGATCGTTTAAATTATCGGAGAAGAGTGGAAATAATCAAATTCTTCGATGTAAATCAGTTTTATAAAGCAGGATGAACTGTGAATAAACATATTTTGTTTAAATTTAGACTTTTGAATTTATTTTGTTTGTTCTACATTTTTCTGGCCAAGTTAAAATCTAGAAACACTACAAATAAGTTTCCATTGGAAAGTAAATGCAATTTATGGTTTTGTTCGTTATTACCCACAGTGACCATTTTTGAAATCCTCGTTTAAGTAAAACAGTAAACTATTAAACAGTTTCGATGCACAATTTAACCTTTTAATATACTTTTCTGATCTGGGAATCCTGCCGAATGCGCGACTAAATTTTAAAGAAACCCGCTGTTGCAAATATTCCTTTTCGAAATTTTCAACAATTTGTAGAAAATTTTCTTTGCATATTTACAAATAGTATTAAATACTTCCCTTTCAAGTGATATAAGATCCAATAACAGCGAATGGCTAAGAAAAAGCCCGCATATGCTGATCTCGTTGAAATGTTTCGACTGAAATCGCTCGCCAGATAAAGATGTTTATACAGCGCGACCGGATGAACTAGGCGGAAACGCGAAAATAAATTGGAAGAATAAGAGCACACCCAAATTCGAATGTTAGTTGAGACTTCCTATACACAGCGCAACACGACTAATTTAAATTCAAAGGTTCAAGCTACCGTTTCGCGATAATTTTACAATTTAAGTAAATTCATCTACTCTAAAAGATTAGCCTCCGACGACTTGAGAGCTCAATCCGGCACTGAGTTAAAACCTAAACAATATTCCCATGACCCCAAAATTGTAATAGTAATACCTTTGAGTTGACTATTTTGGCCAAATTCTCATCCACAACATCTCCCAGACTGGCAATCTTTTCACAGTTAGCCGATTCCAATTTCTGCCAGTAAGTTTCCATTAATTTCTGCATCGCTGGCAACACGGCGAACTGAATTTCGTGCTGTACGATTTCAGTGACCATCTCGGGTACTGTCTTATTGAAAACTTGTCCGACAGCATTCATGATACTCTCCTAGAAATTGAAAAATGAAATAACTAATTAAATTTGCAAGTTTTTGCCTGCCTACTTCCGACTTAAATAAGCAAAAAAAATGAGTAGAAATATATTCAATTTGAAATTGTAGGAATTGCGATTTTCCCCTATTCCGTTACCTAAAGCTTGGTTCTCATGAGTCCGGAATGCTATGAGTGAGAGCAAAACGCGTGCGCTGCCGTACTACTCCTGTTCTGGAAACATTAACGCAGTTCACATGTGTTCCGGATTACCGTGGACAGTGCTAGTAGATCTTCATGAAAACGAGCTGCGTTTCAACTCTTGAGTAGTTCACTTCAGTAAGCAAAGTGAAATTGTGGTGTTAAAAGTCACATGATCCATTTGCTCACGTTTGATTAACCTGAGTTGATATATATATCAACTGAACGTTGATATATATTTTTCTTCCAAGCATTTTTTTAGAATGTTCGAAGCAAAACTCTCCGAAAAGTAGTCCAAATTGGACTTCGACAGTTGATGTACTGTCGAAGTATAACCTTTTACACTAGAGTTAATGTAGGTGTTCACCTTCTTCCGCACGGCAAAGTTGAAAAATATAAAAAATTGGGAACTTCTGGGTGGCGGTTTTCTGCCCTACGCATTCCGGACTGATGACAACCCGAATTTAAGCGATCGATCCAAATACAATACGGATAAAACGAAAGCAATTATCCTTAACAAGGAACTAGATAATTTAGAATTATAATATAAATAATGTACTTTTGAAATATAATAACGTACATATACAGGGTGACTTTTTGGATGACTAGTACAGGGATCTTCGGATCTACAGCACTTTCGATGAAGGTCAAATGGATAAAAAATTGTAGTTTTGAATGCTCTACTCGAAACCAATTTTATTTTTCTAAAATTTTACAGCTGTCGAGATATTTGGTAACAACTTATTTATGGCAAATTTTTAAATTATTCCCAGTTCCGTTGATATTAATTTGTCAGGAAAACATGAAATAAAAGCAATTACTCCTTGTTCCGTTGATAATAATTTGGCGGGAAAGCATTAAGTAGAAAACTTGTAGCAAATCGAATTCCAAACAAAATGGTATAAGACATTTCTCCAAAATAACTGTCATTTTTGACATATGACACAAATTTGAGTTTTTTAAATTCAAGTATACCTACTTTATACTTTTATACATCACATCGTTAGGTTTTTCTTGAAAATAAAGTGTCTGCGAACAATGTATACTTATTCAATTCAGTTGATCGAGGTTAGCTATGGAAAATGGTATAAGACATACAGCATTGTTTCCATAGTAACAAATAATAACAGTATGTTTCAGTATTCATTTTGACAACTACGTTAAAGTTGGCAATAACTTTATTTTAATTAAGACGGCTGCTCATTTAAAGCGTTTATTATAAAAATGAAATCATACCAATAATAATTAGAATTTAACTCTAGAAACTTAAATTTTTATTGTAAAACATTTTCAAAAAGTCCACCATTATTATCAATGCAAATATTTTCCAACGCTCTAACAACAGCTTCTTTAAGTGCATTTAAATTGGAATATTTGTTTGTGGAAACTATGTCTTTTGCGGCTCCCGACAAAAAGAAATCCACAGGTGAAAGATCCGGTGATTGGGGTGGCCATGAAATGGGGCCGTTTCGTCCTATCCAAGCCCCAGGAAATATTACTTCCAGGTGGTTCTGCACTTGGGAAAAATTATGCGGAGGAGCGCCATCATCTTGAAACCATTGCACATTACGCCATATATCTAAATCTAAGTCGTCCAACATAAAATCCAGCTTATTCCGTAGGAATTGAAGATAACAACTACCATTTCAGGTACCTTCAAAATTAAATAGTCCAATAATTTTTGATCCTACCATTCCGCTACAAACGTTAAACCCAAATTTAATTTGTGGTGTCCTTTGCTCAACGTGTTGGGATTTGTTTGATTCTAAAGATGTTCATTGTGTCGAATAAACATACCACAATTTGTAAATCGAGTTTCATTCATTCACACGCAGCTCCTCATCCCCTAGATGTAAAGTTTGGGATACTAATAATTTATGCGGATGGAATTTGTGTTTTTTTAAAACTCGCACCACGGTGCCTTGGGAAGTCCCGGATTCTGTTGCGATCTATCTGGTTCAAATCTGTGGATTCTGCATTATAATAGCTAAGACATTAACCTCCACAGCTTCATTTATTACTTTATCTTCATTTCTTGAAAATCTCATATATCTTTCTTTCTTCATAAAGCGGCAAAGCAATAATCAAGGATGGTCGCAATTTAAAAAAACTGAAATTTGTGTCATTCATGTCAAAAATGACATGTGACATGTTATTTTGGAGAAATGTCTTACGCCATTTTGTTTGGAATTCAAATTCCTACAAGTTTTCTACTTAATGTTTTCCCGCCAAATTATTATCAACGGAACAAGGAGTAATTGCAAAATTTACCATAAATAAGTTTTTCTCAAATATCTCTCGACAGCTGTCAAATTTTAGAAAAATAAAATTGGTTTCGAGTAGATCATTTAAAACTATAATTCTTGGTTTTTCGAAGATCCCTGTAGTGATCATCGAAAAAATGAACTTTGTATGTATATAAAAAAAATAAATTTATCAATAAGCACAATTAAATAGTAATTATAAGCATTTATCAATAAGTAAATTATCGTTCAATCCTGCCTCTGCTTGGGAAAAAAATTTCATATATTTGATGTCTGATGGACCAAACGTAAACGTATTTTTTGGCGATGTACGTGGTGCTCCGATAAGGGTAATTAGAGTGCGGCCGCATCTCGACAACGGTAAGGACCAGCGGTTTGGGGAAAAATTCGTATTAGTAAAGTTGGCACAAAAAATGGCTGGAAATTGTATTGAAGTCCTGGTTTTCCACCTAAAGCGTTCAGTCACTAGAGATGGAAAGCGAATATTTCTTTTGATTCTACCATAAACTTTTCAAAAAATGAGTTTACTTGGTATAGTCATCTGAAAGACCTTTTTGGGAAGTTTCTCAGCGCGGCCCTGATTGTTCTAGTTTACGGTTCTGAGGGCCAATATGTATCTTTAAGTCGCGAAAAGTAGTTTCACAGCAGCGATTTTCAAAAAAATGCCTTGTTTCTTCAATGCAGTTTTGACATTGTCAGAACGCAGTCAAATAGTTTGGGCAGTTTAAAAAAAATCGGCATTTTAATCTTCCGCTTGGTGCATTGAAAAGACAAGACTTTCCTCTTCAAACGGCCAAAATTTCAATTTAAACACGCAACCAGTGGCGCTCAGCGAAATTTTCAAAGCTGCTCTCAACAAAATCTTCTAGTCTGTTCTTCTGAAAATCTCTGCGATGGAACCAAAAGGAATTTTTTACTTCTTCTTAGTGCTCTCAAAGGACAGGAGTTTCCTGTTAATTCAGCCAAAATTGCAGTTTCAACTAGAGATTGTGATAAACGGTTATTTTTCTGTTACAGATTACAATGTTCCAGTTTGGTAATAGGTTTCTAAGTGCGGTTCCAAAAGGAACATGTTACTTTTAAATTTTTTCATTAAAAATGCGAAATGATGATTGTAGAAATAGTGATAACATATAATTGTTTAGTTTACAAAAAAATTAATTCTTAACAAACTTAAAATAAAATATGTTAAAATCAAAAAACAAAACATGGGTCAGAAGTAACTACTTAAAGAACAAAAAACTGATAATAAACTAGAGAGATTAAATAAAATATACGGTTTATATGCGAAAATGTTTAAAAATCAAATTTTCATTTAAAAATGAATTAACATTTAAGAATAATTTTTTTTTGCAGATGCTTTTTACTGAGTCTAGTTGTTCGCTCGTTTATGATAGCACCCGCTTTAGAAAATAATATCTCGCATTTCGTTTCATAATAACATTAAATAATCTACAATAACACAAAACAGAAGTGCGTGTTTGGCAATCCTGGACGAAGTATTACCCGAGCTAATTTTGGTACCATCAAAAAATGCTTAAAAAAATGTCGACCTTACAACGTCTATTACTATAACTAAATTTCATTTCACCTCTGGCGGTTCTGTGCCGGTGCAAACCACTTTTCCGGTTTTATGAGACGGTTCCAAAAAAAACCGGTTAAATTGGCAAACTGCTACAACTGGATAGATGGCTCGACAGTGTCGCATCGGTTCTGTGCTGTTGCGAACGGTTTTTTCGGGTTTATGAGACGGTTCCAAAGAAACCGGTTAAATTGGCAAAGTGTAACTGCGGTTTCAGGTCACACGCGTGGAACACTGTTATTTTAGCGGTTACGTTAAATACCGACCCTCCCTAGCTTCAACACGCAATTAGTGACGCACTGTCAAATGTTTAGAACACGGCCTAACAAAGTTTGTTATTTTGGTTTAATCCCATCTCTGGAACGTAACTGAGTGTTGATATTCCGCTTGGTCCATTGAGAAATTTAATTTAAAATCAGTCAAAATAGCAGTTTCAACATCCAACCAGTGGCGCATTGGCAATTTTTGAAAACACCTCCGAAGAAAATCCATGCATTTTTTGGAAAATCACTGCGCGGAATTCAACCGTAATTTTTGCCTTCCGCTAAGTCCATTGCAAAGACAACTTCCTTCTAAAAAGGACCCAAAAGGCAGTTTTAACACAACCAGTGGCGCACTGACAATTTTTCGGAACGCCGTCCTGCAAAGTTTGGGCATTTTTTTAACAAATTGTTGCTCTGGAACCAAACAACATTCTTCTCTTCCGCTTGCTCTATTGAGACAACAACAAAATGTTGCAGTTTCAATACCCACCAGTGCCACACTTATAATTTTTAACCCCCCCCCCAAGAAAACCAAAATAATTTTTTCAGAATCGCTGCGGTGAAACTACTTTTAGCGACTAAAAGGTAAATACTGTACCTAAACTGTGTAAACTAGAACAATCAGGGGCCCCTGAGAAACTTCCCAAAAATGTCTTCTCGATAATTTCATTTTGGTTACGGTGGAATCAATCTAGTGACTAAAAGTTTTAGATGAATTAGGGAAAACCAGGACTTCAATACAATTTCCAGCCATTTTTTGTGCCAACTTTACTAATAAGGATTTTCCCCAAACCGCTAGTCTTTTCCGTTGTCGAGATACAGCCGCTCTTTACCTTTATCGGGACACCCTGTACATTTATTTGTGTTGTTCCGTCTGGGTATCTGTTATCAAAAATTCCATTAAAATCCTGTCAATTTTATCATTAGTCTCGAATAAACCGCGCCTTCTGCATGGAAACTACTATTTTCTTCATATTCGGCCGGAATTTTATTGGCTTCAGGCTTACCATTTACTTAATCTGTCTTGATTTAACTTACCTGCAGTTCCCTGTGCTTGCCCTGTTGCAGGTGAATGACATTCTCGAGCATTTTGGCGACTTGTAGATGCTGTTTCAGTATCACAGATTCGATTTCCTTAGTGAAATCGGCAAACTCGTTCTGGGTCGATCTGGAAGCACTGTTACTCACAACCGACTGATTCAAAGATTTCATATGTTCGAACAGTTGAGCCATCAGAATTGATTGTTCCTTGAGGCTAGCTTCCATGCCGTTCATCCGCAGATATACAGTCTCTAATTCCTGCTTGTTCAGGTTGCCGCCGTCCTGCAGTTGTTTGATGGGATTAGATTCTTTTACCAAAGATATTTTCGGCCAATTTAGCGAATCTTGGTACAACATAGCGCTGCCACTGGTGGCTGAGTAATCTTTTTGCGGAGGCTCCCCTTCGTTCTGGAACCGAAGGTTTAGTCACGTAATATTATAGAACAAACCTGCTTGCCTGTCCTTGGAGACTCGCTAAATTGCTAAAATACTCCTGGGTAGGATACGCCGCGGAAGCATTGGTCAAGGACAATATTTCTTGGACTTCTCTACTCGGACTCGACCCAGCGCTCGCAAAATTCTCTTTTTGAGGCCGTTGGAAGTCTGGGCGGACGCTGTCGATGATTTTTTCGACTGCTTCTGGTGGAACTGATTCGTTCGTTATTGAGTTTCTCAAGCTAGAAGACGAAAAACGGTTGGGTTTTCAAAATATTACCAGCTTACTTTTTAGGTTATTTGGTACGACCAAATGATTGTGCTTGGTTTTGCAGGCATGAAAATTGCAGAGTGCATGCGACATGAACAGGATGAAAATTACAATCAGCTGGAAAAAAACTGGGGAAAAATTGGGATTAAAAGATCGCACAATGATTATCAGTGAGCAATTGTATTTATATAACTTGCAGCCAAAGCGGCTGAAATTCAAAAGCGATTCTTTTGATAATAAAAAGCGAAAACTGCACCAATGTTTCCTCAAAATGTTATTTTCTTGCAAGCTTCGGCTAAATTTGAAGAAATTTTACACAATTTCTCAAAATAAAACTTCCAACCACTTTTGCAACTAAGTCTTCCCGCCATTTCCTTCAAGCATTGTTGGGACCCCACCAGCACAGATTAAAAGCCCATTTTTCCATACGCTCAAAGGAAAAATTCACTATATGAACGTGAATACATTTATTTTCCTGGATATTCATGCTGAATATTAACAATTATTCGAATTTAGAGATGCAACAATTTTTACGCTTTTTTTCAAAAGTTGTTTGCGACAAAACTAGTAGATTGAAGAGCGTTTTTTTCGGTCGTAAATACGGGAATACTCTATGAGTCCAGTCAATTCTATTGTCTTGCAAGTTTGGACCGAATTTTAAGAATTACCTAAAATGAGATTTGCATGGACTTTGGCGACTAAATATACCGACATTTTTCAATTCTTTTTTTACCATTAAACGGGCTTCGATTAAAGCGCGATTTTTACGCAGTAAATAGAGCAAACTTGACTCCACGTTTCCGCAAAATTTGATCTTCCTGGCGGTTTGGACTGAATTTTGACAATTACTCATAATAAAACTACGAATTACTTTTGCGGGTAACTTTTTCCGCAACCCTTAAACAAACGTTAGCTACCAAACAAATAAAGACTGAAGAGCAATTTTTCCAGTAAACGTAAAGAAGGCTTCAATCTATGTTTCCTCAAAATTTTATTTTCATGCAGGTTTTGGGCTGAACTTTGCCAATTAATTACTGAAAGTGAAACTTACATCTACTGTTTTCGTCGTTTTTAACAAGAAGTTTCCGGCCAAGCCGGCTGAAATTCAGAAGCGATTCTTCTGGCAATGAAAAGCGAAAACTGCAACTATGTTCTCTCAAAATTTTATTTTCTTGCAAGTTTCAGCGGAATTTGAAGAATTACCCAAAATGAAACAACCACTGTTACGACTAGAGGTGTGATAAACGGTTATTTTTCTGTAACGGGTTACAACGTTCCAGTTTTACCTTGGTAATATGTTTCAAAATGCGGTTTCAAAAGGAGCATGTATACGTATGTTTTTTTACAGAATGACGCAGAAAAAAAATGCAGAATGATGATGATAGTAGAAATAGTGATAATATATAATGATTTCCTTAATTAAAAACATAATTCTTAACATTGGTAAACTTAAAATAAAATATTCTAAAATCAAAAGCAAAACATGGGTCAGAAGTAACTACTTAAAAAACAAAAAAACTGATAATAAACTAGAGTGATTAAATAACATATACGGTTTATATGCGAAAATGTTTAAAAATCTGATTTTTATTTAAAAATGAATTGCACACGCTTTTGACTGATTCCAGTTCTTTGCTCGTTTATGATAGCAACCGCTTTAGAAAATAATCTCTCGCATTTCGTTCCAGAATAAGATTAAATAATCCATAATAACAACAAACAGAAATGCGTGTTTGGCAAACCTGGACGAAGTTTTACTCGAAAAAATATATCGACCTTCCAACGTTTATTACTATTCAAATAACTTTCATTTTATCTCTGACTGAATTTATATTTTTAAATGGCCAGCTTGCTTAAATGCAGGTGCACATTCTGCTTAAAACGTTTGTTATTTTTCAACTGTAATCGAATTTATGTCTTGGACTCTTGGTTTGCTCATAGCTCATATGCAAGTACAAATTCTGCTTAGTTTGCTGGTAATGGGCATATAAATCCCGAGCTAAGTTTCTTTAGAGAAATCCCTTTTTTTAAGATTTATTACAGAACGTCAGAAAACTAAACACTTATAGACTAAAAATGCTGAAGTATATCATCGCAGCGGCTAACAAATTTTTGCTGGCTCCTAGAGAACTGAACAGTAATTCTTATCAACGAAAAGTGATACACAATCATCAAGGCAACGCGCAACTACATACAACATATTTTCCGTTGACAAATGGTTACTGAAACTGCTGCAACTGTATAGAGCGCTTGGCGATGCCGCATCGGTCCTGTGCTGCCGCGAACCACTTTTGCAGGCAGGTTCATGGGACGGTTCGAAAAACAACCTTTTAATCGGCAAACGGCTGCAGCAAAATACAACTTCCAACGACTTTTCCCATCAGTACATATTAAAAGCCTTTTTTTACATACATATTAAAAGCCCAAAAAATTGTTTTCTTGGATATTCATGCTGAACAATGAACAATTACTCGAATTTAGAGTTGCAACGTCTTTTGCGACTAACTTTTCACGATGTTTCTCAAAAGTTGTTTGCGACGAAACTAGAAGATTGAAGAGCGTTTATTTCGGTCGTAAATAGGGAAAGCTTGACTCATGCCATGGAAAAGGAAAGCTGTAGCGGTAAAGTCAAGTTCGTAGCGTGACAAACTTGTGGCATATGAATCCACTCAATTTTTTTTCTTGTAAGTTTGCACCGAATTTTAAGAATTACCCAAAATGAGACTTGCATGGACTTTGGCGACTAAACATACCCGCCATTTTTCAATTTGTTTTCACCATTAAACGGGTTTGAATTGGACTTGGTCTGAACTTTGCCAATTAATTACTGAAAGCGAAACTTGCAGCTACTTTTTTCGTCGTTTTTAAAAGCAGTTTGCGACCAAGCCGGCTGAGATTCAGAAGCGATTCATCTGGCAATAAAAAGCGAAAACTGCAAATATGTTCTCTCAAAATTTTATTTTCTTGCAAGTTTCGGCGGAATTTGAAGAATTACCCGAAATGAAACAACCACTGTTACGACAGATTTTTTAGAGATTGCACAGCGCTTTTTTTTGTAGTAAACAGAGCACACTGCATGTGCAAATGTTTCTGCAAAAAGTTTATTTTGCGTCTATATTTGCGCCGAATTTACACAATTTCTCAAAGCGAAACTTTCAACGACTTTTGCAACTAACTTTTTCCGCCGTTTTTTCCGTTTCATTGTTGGGACCACGCCAGTACAAATTAACAGCCGCTTTTTTTCGTGCGTTCAAAGCAAAAATTCACTGTATGAACGTGAAAACAAAAAATTGTTTTCCTGGATATTCATGCTGAAAATTGACAATTTTTTAAATTTAGAGCTACAACGACTTTTACTACTAACTTTTCCCGCTATTCTTCAAAAATTGTTTGCGGCGAAACTACTAGAGATTTGAGATCGTTTTTTCAGCCGTAAATAGAGGAACCTTAAATCTATGAGTCCACTCAATTTTATTATCTTGCAAGTTTGGCCCGAATTTTAAGAATTATCCAAATTACCCAAAAGGAGACTTGCATGGACTTTGACGACTAAATATACCCCCCATTTTTAAATGTTTTCATCATTAAACCGGTTTGAATTGAAGCGCGCTTTTCACGCAGTAAATAGAGCAAACTTGAATTCATGGTTCCGCAAAATTTCATTTCCGTAGAGGCTTGGACTGAGCCATTCAATTGCTTTTGCGGCTAACTTTTCCTGTTGCCCTAAAAAAAAAAACGATTGCTACTAAACAACTAGCGACTAAAGCGCGATTTTTTCGGCAAACATAAAGAAGGCCTCACTCGATGTTTCCTCAAAATTTTATTTTCCTGCAGGTTTTGGTCTGAATTTTGACAATTAATTACTAAAAGTGAAACTTGTATCCACTTTACCGCCGCTTTTCTAAATTTATTTGAGACCAAACTACTGACGGCCCACATGCAGTCTCAAGCTCATCCAATGAAATTATTACACAATATTCCGTTTTTATGGGGGTATATGTAAACGTATTGTATGGGTATTGTATATGTATGGGTATTGTAAATAACAAAAGAATAAACGGCTTATTAATAAATCAATATTTATGCAAGTGAAGGTAAATAAAGCGATATATTTTAGCATTTCATAAGCCAAGAAAACAATGCTTACCTTTAAAAGAACAAAAAATTAAAGTAATTTCACTTAGGCGGCAGAACCACAATTGCAAACTTATGTAGTGTCCATCGCGAATAATTCGCGGGAATTGAAAAGGGACGCTTAAGAAGAAACTGCTGAGGCCTTATAAGGTGATAAAGGTGATAAAGCCGTCAATATTAGCAGACGGGACAGATTTTGCGGTGAATTTAAACTGAAATGTGTTTTTTTCCATTTGCCCCGATTTACAATTACTCCAATGAACCCTACCAGCACAAACACGAAAAGGAAACTCGGGTAGATTTATCGAGAGCCACAAATAATCCTTCAAAGAGCCGGAGATTGGCCCCCAAACATATTTTAATATGGGTTTCTCCTGATTATCAATGAAATTAATCCTGATTATCAAAACTGAAATACCCTGAATCTATCTACTAATCAATTTAAAAATCAGCTTACCTGCTGGATTTCGAGGATTTACCAGGCGAAGTAAAATCATCCGGTGTCATCAAGGTTAACTTGGTATTGTTGCTCTGCTGCTGAATCAATAAAGTTACTGAAGTTTGCAAATCGTCGAGATCTGGCATCTTTTCCACTACTGGTTCATCCTAGAAAAACTCAATTACTTGACAATCACCCCTACTGCACACTGAGTTATTTTCATATCAAGCAATGCGTACCTCAATAAGTTTATCAGTAGTCAAATCCACTAAGTCGTCGATAACATTTTCAGTAACTATTACACCCTTGTACAATAATGTGTCCGGCTGGAACGTGACGTTGCACTCCTGGAATTTCTTCGGCTGGATAACCAACATTTTCAAGCTTTGCACCTATAAAACACTTGTTTATTTATTTATTTAACCCAGTGTACATTATACAAATTTCTGAAAATTTGCAAAAGCCGCAGGGAGAACTCAATTTTGTTCGCAGACCGGAATACTATGAAATATAAAGAAAATATCAAACTTATTTATACTAATACTAATCTTACAACACTAAAATACTATACTATAATACACTTGAATACAATTCTTCATATTAAATTACTTATCAATATACGTAGCACCCTATAATAACAATTATTGCTAGTTGATATCAATTTACATTTTGTTTTTTAGCCATAACGAATATATGATTTTTATTATTGCACAATTTTGCTTTCCATTATAAAGCTTTTCATTTTCCGCTTTAATGTATTTCTATTCTCTGTGAGCTTCTTTAGCTCTTTTGGTAGATTATTAAATAACTTAACAGCCATGATATAACTATTCTTAAATCCTACAGTTTTGTGTACATTTTTGGCAAAATTAAATTTTTATTTTTAGTTTTACTTATAGAATTGAGATAAATATCTTTCAGACTTGGGTGGTAGTGATGCATCAATGACTCCTCATATGCAAAGATTTGGTTGAGATTCAGAGGTCTACTATGTGTAAAAAAAGTTATTCTTGTTTAAAATTTTTAATAATTTGTTTTGAAGACCTTGTAATAATTTTTGGTTATTGTTATTTGCACCACCCCAAGCTATACACGGTCTCCCATAAGCACATGATCAAAAGGATACTGCGATACTCTTTCCATCAAAAGAAGACGATCTGACCTAACTTTTATTAACAAAAAATGTCTGGCTCCTCTGCTACTGATGGTCAAAGTTGTTCAAAAAAATGCCTTTTTCGAAATATCGGAAAAATGGTACGATGTATTTTAGTGAAACTCGCTGTGGATTTGTTCTTATGTAAGACTCATATTTTGATGAAACAATCGAGTTCATCCGTTTTGGGCAAGTGGAGAATTCTTGACGGTCGTGGTACAAAAACTACCAGAACTTTTTATTTGGTGGATGAAATCAAACTCATTTTTTGCTGGATGCACTAATTATTTGATGACAATTTTGTGCTCTTTGTAAAATCTTGCAGCATTCATAGTTTTTGAGAAAAAAAATATTCTGTTTTCTTGCCACTTAAGAATGTTAGATATTAACTGCAAATATCGTGATACGAGTCATAAGATCATTGCCAATCAACCTCACAAATTCGTTTTGAATGATCTTTTCTAATGAAGAAGTGATCGACATGGTCAAAGTATTAGGGTTTTGCGAAGACAACTTGCGTGAAAGCGTACGCATTTACGCGGCGCATATTTGCAGTTAATGTCTAGCATTGTTAAGTGGCTAGAAAACAATAATCTTTTTCGCAAAAACTATGAATGCTACAATATTTTACTAAGAACCCAAATTGTGAATAAAGTTGATTAGTGCATCAAAGTTAATTAGTGTGAAGAGATTAGTGCATGAACCGAAAAAAAATGCGTTTATTTCATCCACCAACTAAAAAGTTCTGGTAGTTTTTGTACCACGACACTCAAGAATTTACCACTTGTCTAAAACGGCTGATCTCGATTGTTCAATCAAAATATGATATAAGAACACATTCACAGCGAGTTTCACTAAAATAAATCGTACGGTTCTCTCGATATTTAAAAAAACGGTAAATTTTTTGAAGAACTTTAACAATCAATAGCAGAGGAGCCAGACATTTTTTATTAATAGAAGTTAGGTCAGATCGTCTTCTTTTGATTCAAAGAATATCGCAGTACCCTTTTGATCATGTGCTTACGGGACACCCTGTAGCATATTGTAATACTATTGATAATATTGATATTATATGAGCATTAAAACATCTATCCTCAAGAATTTCGATAGTCTTCGAAATCGGAACACCGAAACGTTTGGTTTTTCCTAAAATATACTCAATGTGTGTGTCCCATTTGAGGTTGTAATAAAAAACAACCCCTAAGTATTTGTGATACTTCACTCTATTTACAGTTTTTTTGTTAACTGTTGTTTATTTTTATATGCTCTGGCACACTGTCACAGTAGTTTCCGAATGTTATATATACCGTCTTATCTATATTTTATGATAGTTTATTCAGTTTTGAAGCGATTGTTCATTTTGTTTTGTGTTTCTGACCATGTATTCTCAGTTGAGATGATGGCTGTATCATCAGCAAAGGATATTAATGACTCATCATTTACACTATCCAACAAGTCATTTACGTAAAGGATGAATAGCAAAGGACCCAGTATGGGACCCTGAGAAACACCCATTTTTACCCTTTTAAATTCACTTTCATTTTCGTTCAACTTGACTTTTTGCTGCCTATCACTAAGATAGCTATAGGTAGGCTTTCCCTTCATGAAGCGATACTGTCTTTAAGATATTATGTTGCTAGCAGTTATGAAGTCCAAGATTCTATAATGAACAATTTTCTCCAATATTTTAGCAATGTTCGAGATTAGTGATATTGGTCTGTAATTAGATGCCTTATTTTTTACTCCAGCTTTGTGGATAGGTATTATATCTGCGTTTTTAAGACCCTCTGGCCATATAGCTTCTTCAATACACAAATTAAATAAGTGGCTCAATGGCTGTACTATATATGTATTCCGACAAATTTTGTAACGTTTTGCTGTTCACACAATGTGGCCAACGTTAGATAATACAAGTGAAGTCCCAGTTGCTCAACAGTTTTCATAATACACAAATAAAGCCAACCGCCGGTGAAAAAAATTCGCAGAAATTCAAATATTCTAGAGAACACCGATATATTTTAGAGCTTCCCAATTATGCAAATTTACGGTTTTTGGTACGACATAAAAAAGGTAGTAGGATTCCATGGATGAGAATTGCACAGAATAGAACAAAATGGAAAGAACCAAGGGAGGCCTATATCCAATTGTGGACTAAAAATGGCTAGAAGAAGAACGGTTTTGGGGCATATGGACACATAATTTTTTTTCGAAAACATCACCCTCCACTCATGAAATTCTGGGCAAAAAACCAAAAATTTCGCATGCGAGTTTCCACCTAAGGAGCTTAACAATTTTGCAAATTTACTGTTTTGGGGCATTTGAAGAGATTCAATTTTTTCCAAAACACCAAGCTCCACTCCTGAAATTTTGGATGTTTGTGAAAGTTTGGCGTCATTACAATAAATAACGCATTTCACATTGATTTGCCCATCGATTCGCAATGAAACCCTATTGTTCCGGTTCGCTGGTTCTGGTACTGATCCGTTGACCAGAGACTATGGGTTCTAATGATCCGGATCTTCGAAATGAGCCGACTCGCCAACCACTAATCGTGTAAAGCTCTTTCTTTACTAACTCTAACCCCCAACCTTTTCCGGAATGCCAACAATTTATTGCGCAAATGGCGGCAAATTCAAATATTGGGTACCTGTTTGGCGCACGATGTAATTGTCGGCTACTCACCGTAATTTCGGCTTCATCATCAAACTCTGTATCGCTGTCATCATACAGATCCTCCGAACTGTTATTGTAACAAAAAGGAATATTCTTAGTGGCAGCTTCCAGAATATGGAAACTCATAAAAGGTGCCGGAATCAAAAAGTGGGCTAGTTGCTTAGCGCATACGAGCTGCTCCTCTTCATTCCTTTAATAATGAGCATCAATAAAAAAAACGAAACAAAAAACAAACCAAAGGCTCACTTCTGCAGTTCAATTACGTAGACCCCGCGATTATTGATGTCGGAAACCACTAGATATTTTCCTGAATAATCTACGGCCACGTTGAAAAACAATTCTGGTATGATTCCCTTTGGGTTTGGCAAAAAATTGATGGTCTGCAAACAGCTCCAAGTTTCACAAGACCACAACTTAAGTTCGCTGTTCTCCATTGCACCAGTGACGGCGAATTTCCAACAACTGTAAAAGTTATCTTATGAATTAGAGCTACAGATTAATAAAATCCCACTTACTGCGGAGCATATTGCAGAATATTGTCCACGAAAATTACAGAAGTTAAAGCTTTACCTTCATGGGGAACCCATTCGTGTAAACATTTTTGCATCTCCGGATCACACATAAACAACTGTAACAAGGAGAAATGAATAAGACCTTGACTCATCGAAAACTTATTTTTCAATTTTAAAGTTCAACCTGAAAAAATTTCACGAATCCGTCTTTGCAGGCAAGCGCAATGGCACAACCATCCGACGAAAATGAGGCATCGACCAGATCCGAGGTATGGTTAATTTCCGTGTAACCTTCATAAGAATTATCAGGATCAATAGGTCCATCACTTCCATATTTAAGGTTCAAAGTGGCGACATTGTAGATCTCAGCTGTAGAAAATTACGTTTGTGTCCCGGCAATTTCACGCACGGATTTTTACCTTTAGAACCGTTCAAAATGACGAACATTTTCTCGGACTCTTCCGGAAAATCAAGTTCTTCCATGCTGGGAACGTAAGGGCACCACGCTAGCCTGAAATTGGTTTTCGGTCTAGGCAACTCTTTGTGGAACACATGCAGGAGTAGTGTGTAACTAAGAAACATGAAACAAATAGAAATTTGATGTTTTCCCCATTGAATCAACACAACACCTTAACGAATCTTCTGAATCCTCGATGTTATAAATTAAAATATTTCCCTCGCAATCTACGCAGCCGAGAATGACCTCAACACTGGAATAGGCAAATGCAAGTTCCTTAATATCGTCCTTCAGGTTCCTTATTAAAGCCCTTTTTGCGTGGTTCTCCTGGTGAACTACCCTTACCATTCCGCCTTCTTTGCCTGCAAAACCAGTCAACAAGGAACCTAAGTAGGAAACGGAAGTTATTATATCTTACCCTTCATTGCATAGGCCGCAATCTTTCCTTTAATATGGGCGGCAACTAAGTGACCATGGTAGTACTTGAATTCCCAATTATAGTCGATTCGATCTGTAAGTTTCACTTTGGAACTTCCATGGTTGTGGGATCCCTCACTGCATTGGATATTCACTACTTGGCCATGTAGTTCCGTCGCATATTCACTCTCCGGGCCTGTATATTTTCTGGAAAAATATCGATCTCGTTAAAAATTAGCATTATTTTTCTAAATTGAGTCTGTTATAGTATTTAACGTAACCGCTAAAATAACAGTGTTCCAAACGTGTAACCTGAAACCGTAGTTACAGCTAGCCGATTTAACCGGTTTTTTTTGGAACCGTTTCATAAACCCGAAATAGCGGTGCGCACTTCGGACACCGTCGAGCGATCTATCCAGCTACAGCCGTTGCCAATTTAAACCGTTGTGTTTGAAACCTCTTTGAAGTCTCATAAAACCGAAACAGTTGTGCGCACTTCGCACCAGCTGCAGCCGTTTGCCGATTAAAAGGTTGTTTTTCGAACCGTCTTATAAAACCGTAACAGCACCAGTACAAAACCGTTGCCACGCCGCCGAGCGATCTATCCAGCTGCAGCCGTTTGCCGACTTAAACCGTTCTTTTTGGAACCGTCTCATAAGACAGAAACAGTTGTGAGCACTTCGCACCAGCTGCAGCCGTTTGCCGACTTAGAGGTTGGCAAAGTGGTTCGCGTCAGCACAGAACCGATGCGGCATCGTCGAGCGCTCTCGCTCTATCCAGTTGCAGCAGTTTCAGTAACCATTTGTCAACCGAAAATATGTTGTATGTAGTTGCGCGTTGCCTTGATGATTGTGTATCACTTTTCGTTTATAAGAATTACTGTTCAGTTCTCCAGGAACCAGCGAAAATGTGTTTAGTTGCTGCGATGATATAATTAATCATTTTTAGTCTATAAGTGTTTAGTTTTCTGACATTCTCTAATAAATCTTAAAAAAAAGGGATTTCTGTCAAGAAACTTAGCTCGGGAGTTATATGTCCATTACCAGCAAACTAAGCAGAATGTGCACTTGCTTATGAGTTATGAGCAAACTAAGAGTCTAAGACATAAATTCCATGACAGTTGAAATGTAAAATAACAAACGTTTTAAGCAGAATGTGCACCTGCATTTAAGCAAGCTGGCCATTTTTAAATATAAATTCAGTCAGAGATGAAATGAAAGTTATTTGAATAGTAATGAACGTTGTAAAGACGGCATCTTTTTTTATTATTTTTTTGGATACCAAAATTAAGTCCAGTAATACTTCGTCCAGGTTTGCCAAACACGCATTTCTGTTTGTGGCTATTGTGGACTTTTTAATGTTATTGTGAAACGAAATGCGAGAAATTATGAGGTGGAGTGAAATTGGGTTCAATTTTGTGTATTAATACAGATACAATATGATTACATTACAAGAAAAAATTCGATCTTTGCTTCAAATTACGAAAAATTTTTATATCAAAAAAGTTCTCTTCTACAATTTTTTGATGAAAAGTCAAAGCGGCAATGATGGTTTTTTGTCTTCAAGAGATAGTTACAGGTGGATAGCCATTGTCAATAATAACAATAATTTCTCAAACTGTGACTTACATTGAATTTCCTTTCACGAATTTGCGGATATGCGATTAGTTCAGGGGAAATGCTACAGTAACATAGCAGAAGCTGAAAGAACTCACCCCAACAAAGGGCGAGGAAGATAATGGACGACAATAGATGTTCGGGTTCCAGACACAGAAGAACAAGTATTGGACATAATTGCAGAAGAGCCTTTCAGGGACACTCAGAACACTGCACAACAACTGACACTTTCCCAGGCACCAAATAAATACCGGCTACATTCCTAACACGTATGTAAGATACACATTAAATGACTGAACCCCGGTATAAATTGAGAAGGAGTTAGTTAACCGAATACGAGAAGCTGCTTAATAAGAGTGGATAATAAGGAGATTACACAGGCACAAGCTTGTTTGCAGTTATCCATTCAAATGTTTGGTGTTGTATGGTTTATTTGTAAACACCAATTCGAGGTTATGAGAACAGGTTGACGTTTCGAAAGTACGTTCCGCAGTCAACGAATCTTATTGAATTTACCGTTTATCCTTGTCTATCTTATTGTCACTCTGTATAATTCCATGGTTACCGGAGTTTTAAAGAATTACGAAGCAACAGGTATTTGCGCAATGTTAATTAGGCAGATTACCTTGAAAACATTGCTGCCGTATTTCTGATATAGTTTTTTTTCAAATTTCCCAGTTTTTGATGCAATGCATTGCAATAAATTACAATCATTTATTTTACTATTTATAGTAGTTTATTAGTAGTTTGCCAGATATCGGTCGCGGCGGTTCCCGGTGGAGCACCTTGCATACCTACGTTAGTGGAAACACTGAAAGCCGAATTTTTAGAACGATGGATGCCAGACAATTTTTTGCTTTTGCTGCCACTCGATTTACTATTTAGATTATTTTTGTGAGACGCGGTGATTGCTGGTAGTTCGTGTAACAACACTTCTGGATTCGTTCGATTTTTTATTATAAAAGAATATTTGGCAGCGACTTTTTTGTATTGTATTTGGAGTAGAAGCTACTCTTTGTGCTTCGGCTGGTTCTGCAAGCATAGCTGTGTTAGCCTCTCGAACCACAGCTTCAGTGCAAAAAGTTAAACTTCTATTTTTAATGCAAGAATACACTATTTTAAAATATCTGCTATTAGCAAAAAACCTAAATCGGAAAGAAATAATTGMATTTTCATTACACTGCAAAAATAGTTGGACATTCGGTGCCATAAAAATTATGCGGCCCATAAGAAACAGAGCAATTTGAACTTTCTACTTAAGACATTGTTAATAATATTTAATTACAAAAATATACTGTCACACCGGAAAACCGCGAAAAAAATTAATCTGTACTAGTCGAACCTAATCGCCCTTTTAACTGTAGATCACATCATTTCGAGTTATAAAAATGAAGATCGTATTGTTTCCTTAAAACAACCAAGCCGATCAATGGTGTTAACTGCAAAAGACGAGGGGCTTCTGGGATCATAAGTCACGTAAAATAGAATGTTGCACATACTATGGACGCTAATGAATATATTGGGCGAGTTGCAACGAAAAAGCCTTAGCTCAGTAAAAAAATTGTATTTTTTTATATTTTATAAAGCGGAATAATATTGGAAACATGCAATATTTTCAGATGCGACCAATTTGAATATACAGGATCGTTTTTTAGTGTGAGATAGTCCATTATTTCTGTTGGTGTTGATCTTTCAAAAAATAGTTTCATATAAAAGTTGTTGATGCACAAAGTGCGCACATTTTAAAAATATCTTATATGATACAGAGTATCTCAGAAAAGCGAGGCTTTAAAGTGTTTTTTTAAATAGAACTACCCATTTTTCATTAGCTCATGGAATTCAGCTTTAAACGCTGCATATGCACCGTAAATTATTTTTTTCTTACTTGCTACGTTGGTAGATTATCGCCATTTTAGTAAAATTCTGCTTAAAGACATGGTTATCTAAAAATTAATTGTAGAAGCAAAAAAAGCAGTTCAAGATGCAAAAAAATACGTTTTCCAATCCCCACAGATCCGTTAAGAATTCTAATAACCAAAATATTATAATATTGCACAGGGTGTTAACAATGTGGACTTCAATGTAAAACTTTTTATCGCAATATGACTTTTGCTTTTCAAATGGAAGTACCAGTATATAAATACGTCATTTGATAGACAATTTACAAAGTTACAAATTTGCATTTACACTTATTTAATGAATTCCATAGCCACCTTACAAAATGTATCAACTTTTTGAAATTTTTCAATAAAATAAATTACAATTTGCAAACGGTTGATTTCACAGCTTAAAGTGTAAATGCAAATTTGTAACTTTGTAAATTGTCTATCAAATGACGTATTAATATACAGGTACTTCCATTTGAAAAACAAAAGTTATATTGCCATAAAAAGTTTTACATTGAAGTCCACATTGTTAACACCCTATGCAATGTTATATTTATGTTATAATGAAATGCAGCTTGAAACGCTGCATATGCACCGTAAATTGTTTTTTTCTTACTTGCGACGTTGGTAGATTATCGCCATTTTAGTAAGATTTTGTTTAAAAACATGGTATCTAAAAATTAATTGTAGAAGCAAAAGAAAGCAGTTAGAGATACAAAAAAATACGTCTTTCCAATCAACTAATCCGTTAAAGATCCTATTGAACCAAAATATCAATACATTGTACAGGGTGTTAACAATGTGAAACTTTTTAAYGCAATATAACTTTTGYTTTTCAAATGGRAATACCTGTATATTAATACGTCATTAGATAGACAATGAATTTTTAGATGCCATGTTTTTTARCAAAATTTTACTAAAATGGTAATAATCTACCAACGTCGCAAGTAAGAAAAAWAAAACAATTTACGGTGCATATGCAGCGTTTGAAGCTGCATTCCACGAGCTAATGAAAAATGGGTAGTTCTATTTAAAAAAATACGCTTTGATCTTGCCTCGCTTTTCTGAGACACTCTGTATCATATAAGATATTTTTTAAGTGTGCGCACTTTGTGCGTTAACAACTTTCGTATGAAACTATTTTTCGATAGTTCAACACCATCGGAAACAATGGACTCTATCGCACTAAAAAACGACCCTGTATTTGGCAACAGCAAAACACGGCTGAGGATCTCATGACCTGGGGGTGCATTTTTTCATTGGCTGTGGGTGAGTTAGTTTTAGGACGAAACGGGTTCACAAACACAAAAATAAAAAATATATTCAAACCACATAATATCAACATAGCAGAAAAACCTAAAAACACCTCAGAAAATGAATGTTTCACAAAATTTAAACCTAGGATTGACAAGTTAGATACGCCTAATGTAATTTACAAAATAGACTGTTTGAATTGTGATAACACATACATAGGTCAAA